GAAGCTCACATTTTTTTAATGTTACATATTGATTTTCTTTTTATCTGTTTCCCAAATAGGTACGTTTGCGGGAGCACCTGGGTGAAAAGTATACGGCTTACAGTTTAAAAGCTCGCCAGCTGAAATTTTTTGAAGAAAATGTGAATTTTTGAGAGTTTGTTCTAATCTGCTGCCAGAACTAAAGACATTTTCAAAGATTTTTCACTTAAAAAATAAAAGCAAACAAACCCGTAACAATGGCTTGGAGGCTGTTCAGTGTCCTCTTTGGGATTTTCTTACTGCAAAAAAATTGGACAGAACAGAGTAATATGAAGCAAGCTTACAAAAGAAAGAAAAGAAAATCCCATGGGTATTATATTCTTTTTTATGAGGAAAAATCTGCTTAAAGATGTTTGTTTGCTTACTGTTTACTGAGCCTTAAACTACCAACTTTATATGTAAAACTTTATTTTTTTAGGGTACTAATTAGCTTGCAAACAGGGCCATAAAATATTACATTGGAAGTTTTATATCGAACTGTAGTGATAAAAGCAGTGGCAGAAACAAATGACACATGTCCAGTGATATTTGTTTTTGTTAATAACATGAGATAGTAGTTAAATTTAAAAAATGTTAATTCACAGTTCTGAGAATAGATTTGAAGAATAAATTGTATCTAGTTCTCGAGCAATTGGATTCCTTTTTAACACACTGATTGATGTTTAGTATTTTATTTTCATGTAATATGAACCTCATTTAGGGTATATAGAAGTTGAAACTAAGACATATTTGGTTTTGTAAATCAATGTTATTACATACTGGTTTTGTTAGATTTGTTTCCATTGGATAAAACATTTCTTAAATACTAATTCCTTTTGGAATTAAGCAATTTGTAAGTCAAGTCCAGATCCTTTTAGTTACGTTGGATATATTTAATGTTTGTCTCCTAAAGTTTGTCTTCATTTACTTCAAGATATTGGTTGTCTTCTCATGTTTTAAATATAAGGTTTGTATATCATATATTTTATTAGTTGTTTAATAAGGGGTAATGCTCCTAAGAAATAGTTTTTATAAAATTAGTCTTATTTAGTAAATTTTTACTTCTGTGTATTCAAGGGACTCTAAAAATGAATACCGTTCAGAAATATTTTTGTAATTTGAAAATCCATATTATATTTCTTTGAAAGTTATACATATACACAGTACTCTAATGAAACATTCCTCTTCTGG